CGGAAATAATTCTGGAAGCGTGCACATATATCATTATAGAGGACACGCATACAATATATTACTACCTCTCTCGACGGCAAAAAGTAGCAGAGATAATTCCAAGAAGCGAGGATAATCATATATGGTTGTTCTATTCCCATCAATCTCCGGACATGTCGGAAATACAACGCTTTATATACTGGCTTCGAGTTAAAACAGCTATAGAAAAAAGAAAAAAAGAAAGTAAAAAAATGTAAAATTGTTTTGATGAGACAGTACAACAATTTAAAAGAATCAAGATTTTGCAATATGGAACATCTAGAGCGAGTGGAACGCGAGCTGCTGGAGCAGTGCAGCCAAGTCGCTACCTTGGTGGAGTGTTTCGCGTGATTGCAACGATGTGAGGAGTGCATCGAACAACTCGAGGAACTTAGCCGTGTTAAGCGTCCTCGACTCACTATTGCAAAATAGACAATCTGCGGTGGCGAGGATCGCGCGACTCGCGGGTACAAAATTACAATTAGAAAGACGTTTCGTGCACGTTGGTGGTGAGTACGCGAGTAGAGACACTGGATCTCTCGTTTGGCGAGACATCGATACGGCATTTGAAAACCGTATGTTGACTGGTGCGGTGATCAATGTGGACTATATCGTGTCGCGACAATTTTTAGAAGACGCTGGTGGTGTAGTGCTCGAGCGAGTGCGAGATATTGTACAAAGACACGATAGTGTGAAAGTGAACACTGCATTTAACGGCGAGTTTGTGACGGGCGATAAACACGCGAACAAAAGTATAAATACTAAAAATAGTGAACTCTTTCGAGTGTCAAATTTGGACGAGTGATACGAGCAGTACGTTATCAAACCCACGTTGGCGTCGCTCGAAGAATTCCAAAAACGCGACAATGGATGGGCGTTGTCGCGAATTCTAAATTTGACTGTAAACGTTAATAAATATGATCCAATGCATGCGGGATGTTACATCGAATTACCGCGGGAAATTATGTTAAAGCGAGCAGTGATCAATGTACGATTCAATGAAAATGCGTGTTTCGCGTGGTCGGTGGTCGCGGCTCTGCATCCGGCTGAAAGGAATACAAATCAGGAATTATCGTACCCGCATTATACGGTGTTAAATTTGCAAGACATTACGTTTCCGATGACGTTGAACCAAATTAAGAAGTTCGAACATCTCAACGACATCTCAATCAATGTCTATGGTATCAAGGAAAAGGAGATTCTCCCGATACGGCTGACATCAAGAAAGATGGAGAAGCACGCAAATCTATTGTATGTGCAGGATCCGCGCGACGACAACGCGGGGCACTTTGCGTACATCAAAGGTCTGTCCCGTCTTGTGAGCTCGCAACTGAATAAATACGGACATAAGAAATACCTTTGCGACCGGTATGTATTTTAACAAATTTTATTATTTCTCTTATAAAATTGTTTATTAAATACTAAAAATCATATTTTCCGTTTGCAGATGTCTACATTACTTCAGTTCGTCTGAAAGATTGCAGTCACATACAACGGACTGCGAAAAGATGAACGATTGCACTATCCGACTGCCGAGCGAGGACGACAAGTGGCTCGAATTCAAGAATCACGAATAAGGAACAACTTCCATTCATCATTTACGCGGACTTGGAGTGCGTATTACGGCGAACGAAACCGGCAGAGAGGGAAGACGCATCGTACACCTACCAGCAGCACGAGGTATTTAGCATCGGATACTACATGCGATGCTCGTACGACGACGCGTTATCGGTATATCGATTTCGTCGCGACAAAAACTACGTTGCGTGGTTCGTTCGGCAACTCGAAGATTCGACGCATCAAGTAAAAATTCTGTTATCCGCGAATGTCCCCATGGAAACGTTGTCGAGAGAGCAGTGGGAGGCATATCATAGCGCGACGCGTTGTCACATTTGCGAGAAACTATTTGCGTCGGACGACACGCGAGTACGCGATCATTGTCATTTTATCAGTCGTTACCGTGGTCCCGCGCACTCAAATTGTAATCTAAATTATAAAGATTCATATTGCATTCCCATAATATTTCACAACTTATCCGGTTATGACGCGCACTTTATTATCACGGAAATAGCTACGGCGTTCGAAGGCAGGATCGACGTGCTGCTGATAACAAAAGAAAAATATAAGTAGTAAGTGGGGCACTATGGCGCGTCAAAACAAACCCCCACCACCTTCCTACTGGCGCCAGGGGCGTGGCCCCCGATGGTCAAAAACTGGCAGCCACGTGGAAATGGAGCGTTCTTATTGGTCGGTGGGGATGGGAAATGATAATTAGGTAATTAGTGGGAGCGTTCTGATTGGTTGGCTCCGTAGCTGCCCGACGCGTGATTGGCTCTACCCATAGTGCCCCATGTGTGCGATTGGTTGTCGAAATGCTAGACGAGGTAGGGGAAGGGTGAGAAAGCGTCTGGGACTGATCGGAGTCCGAAAACAAAATGGCAACTGCGAAAAAAAATATGGCGGGTCTGTAAAAGGAATATACTTGTCGAGAATAGAATGCGATTTTTTGTTCACGTGGGATGGAGCGAAGAGAAGAAAACCAATTTTTTGTGGAATTTACTGGTTGTATACGGAATATGAAGAATCACGTTTTTCTTAGGGCGAAAGGTTTCTCGGCGTCTCATAGTCGATGAATTTAGATAAATTTCTCGACTCGTTTGATTTTTTGTATGGGGGAAATATAGGTTACGAGTGGATATAGGTTTTGAAGACATGAGATTTTCGGTGTGTAATAGCCATTATTTATCAGGTTGTACGGTATTTGGAAGGAGGAAAACGGGAACGGACAGGTTCGCACTATATATTTCTGACGTCGACGACGTCGAATTCGGAGTTATACGAAGCTTTTATTCTAAGACAAACACGCGGATTGAAAAAATTTTCTAGATGTAAACTCTAGATTTTTCTAACATTTGGAGTTATACACTAGCGGGGTTATGTTCCTTAATTCTATGGTTAAACAAACGAAAAATATTTAAAAAATGATTAGATATTTCTAGCTTCGAATTATGTGGTTAAAATTGGTTTTAAATCGGTGGGAAAGGAAGTAAAATGGACAAAGAATTTATGTTACAAAAATTAGATTTATTGTTATATCATTATACAAATTATACCATAATAGTGTTTCTTTAATGTTTAATTGTTCTTAAAAGTACAAGTTTGTATATGACAGCACGTTACATGAGATTTTTCACATTTCTTTTTCCATGAAGAAAGATTTTACGAAATAATTGTACGATTAGCTTATCATTATCTTCGTAATCTTCGCTGAATATTTTGAGAAATTGTTTAAGCTTATAACCGCGAGACAAATAATAAAGAAATACGCAGCAATATTGTCCACAGGTCTGAGAAAATGTGCCCTGTAATCGCGTGATGTTCCATTTATGAGTAGTAGAGTTTCGTCGAAGTCGTAGATTGAATCTGGAATCCAGGGGTGATAATCCATAGCTATCGAAATACGTGCCTTCTCCATGCTTGTCTAGGTAGAAAGCAACCCAGTGTTGTCCAGGACGATCGTGATTATCAGTGTTCGCGACGATGGCCGTCGACTTCGTCCACACCCTCGGGATTCTGTCGGCAGGATACACACCCGCATGTTCGATACTGAGATGATGCAACGCTCGTAAGATTTCGAGCGAATTCATCTTCCGCGGTGTGGAATGATGTTTGACTTGTTTTTTGGCTCGTCGGTGTCGTTATATTTTATCCTCTTGCGAGG